ACGGGTAAAATTTATTGTCTTTCAAAATTATTTGTACCTTCTGAAGAAGTAGCCCGTCCACGAGTGTTTTTGGTGTTGACAAATGTTACGTGTCCAGAACTTGCAATTTCTGCGGCTTCATTTCTAACTGGTTGATTTTATTGATGGCGATTACGGCAAATATCAGACACATATCCAGTTCCTTTAAATTTTCTTATCAACTGAGCCACATACATCGTTAATATTTTTGTCTGGATGTAACGCAACAATAGGGCAATGCTCCCATTTTGGTAATACATTTTTGTTATTTCAACCCTCTGTTGAATTGAATAAGTCATTGTTCAATATTTGTAACAACTAGGTAGGTAACTGAACAGTTTGAAATGAAAGACAACGCTTTTTTATGATATACGATGACACTGACTGGTGCTAAATGTTCTTGCTGGTATCCATGATTATTATTTTTGCCGTGCATTCCATTATTATCAGTATAAAGTTAGTCGAATTTTATTATAAGCTCAAATAGCTTCACAATAATTGACGATAGGTATAAACTCTATTATACAAAAGTTACTAAAATCTTCATGGAAGAACCAAAAATTAAAAAAAAATGTAATGCATATTTTTGGATCTCCCTGTATTGTACGGCTATAGATGAAAAGACATCACCCTGTAAATCAAAATTGACTTGTCTGAACGTTTTTCCCAAAATGAAGCTTGAGAGTCATAAATGGGAGTGCGACCTTTCCGTTAGGTCACCCTGTATGTGCGAGAGATGGATGTATAAAATTTCTGTTGTTGTAATATGGCCCACCTAAAACCGTAAGAATACTTATAATTGACAATTATTTCTTCCACTGTCGTGGTAAATAGAGCTCAATACACTCTCGGGACCACAAAAATACCATTACTAAACCGGATTTGCGTTTAATGAGCTTTAAAAGTTTAAAAAAGCAATAAACTCCCATTACATTCAAAAGCTGTTCTGAAGGACACATAAATTGGATTATGTCGGGGGAAATCTATTACGTACGGGAGCAATGGAATATTTAATCCAAGAACATTGCATGAGAAGGAGCTCCTGGATACGGTCATGACCGCTTTAGGGAGCACAGATTCAAATTTGATATTTACGAGGTACCTATGACGTAACCATTTTTGAAACATACTTCTCCCCGTCGGGAAGAACCTTACAGATTTTGATAAGAATTAGAAGTACTGCTCAAAGGTATGGCAATGTATCCCTTGCTTCTTGTATACACTCCAGCCCATATGGTAACTATGATGTCAGAAAATGGCGTCAGTTCATGGAGGATTATGTTCGGCACAAGTTAGCCTCTCTGGAAAAAAATTAACTACCAAAATGTATAGCGATAAGATAAAATGGATCAAGTCAGTCAAACAAGCCATTTGACAACGTAAAGATATATAAATTTCTCTCCTACCCTACCGACAGTACTACTGATCACCTGGCAACGTTGCTATCTGTATCTAAAAACGCGTTGGTTAAAATATTTCCTGACAGTTTTAAGGGTAAGGAACCGGGGTTGGAAGCGGAGAACTATACTATCGTCAACAAATTGAGATTTGTCCTCTCCCACTTTAACCTCCAAACGTCAATGATTTACTTCTACAATTTTTTTTTGCAAATGAGCAGATGCCTTTGAATCGTCAACAAATGAGATCTGAGCTATAATTATTTTTTCATCCTTAACTGCTGTTTCGTCCTTGGAATAGGGGGAAACTTGTTCAAATTTCATCGAGATCCGAGGAACAGTGGAGCTTTTAGAAGAAATTATTATTGTCCGCATACAATTTCGATAACTGATTACACCAGGGGTTAATTACATAGTTAATGAAGAATTTTGTTCTGCACAAGCTAGACTGAGAAAAAAGTCAGTCAAAGAGGTCCGGCACTTAGTTCATAGAGATTCTTTCCATGCCCTATCCATCTGACAATGTCGTAAAAAACCTATAAGACGTTTTTAGGGTGCAAACAGTAATTCCACATTTGCTCACTAGGATCGTTGTGAGCGCGATCCAAAGCATCCATATATGGAGGAATGACACAACTAAACTACACGCGTTGTTGGTTGCATATGTTTTGTGAAGCCGAGTGGTCTGTAGTTTTCATCTCTGAGACGAAAGTTGGTTGAACAGCAAGATCGCATCTGGATAATTATGTGTATTGGTTTGCATGTCTATGAAATCAGTGATATTTACTGTATGAGACAATCATTACTGAAAATGCTGACGATAAAGAATATCTATTAGCTGTGCCCGACGAGTTATTTGTGTTGTGCTTTCTGAAGAGAGGTTATGTTTAAAGTTATAAATTACGAAAAACTTTGATGGAATTACAGGAAATCACCACAGCGCCCGCGTTGTGTTTAATTACTGTTATTATATGGCTTGTAATTCGACAGTGTACAGTGACTATAATTATTTCATATCTCTCTCATTTTTGAAATCCAGCAAATTTGCATATTATTTTCCAGAATGGATAAGATAAAGTAGATACGTACCTAATTTCTTGCTTTGAGTCTCAAGTAAGTGTATATTAAACAGGACTACATGATCAAACGAACTTGCCTGTAAGTAATATTCGATCCTAATTATGTGAAGTCTTTGTCGAATTAAATATTTAGAATAAATATTGTAAATGTTCAAAGCTAGTTGCAACAACCTATTATTAACGCTCTGCAATAGTAAGCAATAGGTTGTACACAACTACACAAATTGTACGCAATGTATGTGTCAACTAAATGTACATTTCCATTGTAACATCTCAAGTTAGGGCTCTTAGCAACAGGTAATATGACGTGTATTGGTTAAAAAATTACTATACGTTACATGGTAATAAGCAAATAACGTAATAACATAGTTATGTTTAAGATGTGGAGACTTGGTTCATCTCAAATGCCGCTTGAGCAAAGCTATTGTTTGGCATAAGAGATTTGTGACGTATCTCGGAAAACGCACTCCAGTCCGCCGCGAGCCGGACTCTACTATAATTTAGCAGGCGCAGAGGTAGACGCATTTCATGTACTGTGGGCTGTCAATTGTGACACTCACTGCTGAAACCGACTTCTATTTGGGAGCAGAGGCACCATGATAAAGTTACTGTTAGGTTAACGATTGGCACATAGTGGCAACTGTTTCTTGTTCAAGTCTTACTAACACATTTATTCCAATGTTTCCAGTGTTATAATGGGTGGGCCATTTAAAAGTTTCGATTTAAAAATAAAATAAAACAAAAACGGTTTGAGATATTGCCAAATTTATTTTTTTGTTTTGAAGTACAATTGTTCCGCTCAGAAATGAAATATTACTTCATTCAAATGGCTGCCGCGGCTGGCCTCACAGTAGCCCATTCGATCGGACCAATTTTCGAGCACTTTTTCGAGTGTTTGGGGCCGTATCTCGTCAATGGCATCACGAATGTTGGCCTTCAAATGGTCAATTGTCTCTGGATGGTCGACATAACACTTGTCTTTAACAGCGCCCCACAGGAAATAGTCCAATGGTGTCAAATCGCAGCTTCTTGGCGGCCAATTGACATCACCATTTCGACTGATTAAACGGCCATCGAAGGTTTCGCGCAATAAGTTGATTGTGGCATGCGATGTGTGACAAGTTGCACCATCCTGCTGAAACCAAACATTCTCCACATCAATACCATCAAGAGCAGGAACAAAAAAATCAGTTATCATGGTGCGATAGGTGTTTCCATTGACAGAAACGGTTGCGCCGTCCCCGTCTTCAAAGAAATATGGGCCAATGATGCCTCCGCTCCACAATCCACACCAAACAGTCACTCGCAAGGGATGCATTGGCTTCTCTAAGACCTCGTGTGGGTTTTCCGAGCCCCAGATACGGCAATTTTGCTTATTGACGTAGCCACCAATATGAAAATGAGCTTCGTCTGAAAAGATTATTTTTTTTGCAAAATCGACATCATTGATTAGTTGCTCGTTGGCCCATGTAGCGAAGGCAGAACGAAGTGGATGGTCACACGGCTTCAACTCTTGAACCAATTGAACTTTGTAAGGCGTCATACCGAGATCTTTCCGCAAAATTCGTCGTAAACTGGTGCGGGAAATGTTCAATTCTTGGGAACGATGACGTGTTGACGTTGATGGATTTTCACGCACACTCGCAGCCACAGCATCGATACCTTCGGGTGTACGCACTGTACGAGCACGCTGACGTGTTGGAGCATCAACAATGAAACCAGTTTCACGCACTTTATTAATAAACTTGCGTATACCGGGCGCTGTTGGTGCTTCGTTGCGACCGAATTTTGAACGGCATTTTCGTGCAATTTCTGCCCAATTGTCTTTGTTTTGGAAATAAATTTCCAATATTACCCAACGTTGCTCAAGCGTAAATCGATTCATTTCGTTCAGCGGAGATAATATACTGAATTTTATGACAAATCAGATTGACATAAGTATTGTCAGCGTCAAATTAACACGTGGTTCAAATCGAAACCGATAGATGGCCCACCCTGTATAATGACAGAACTAAAAAAGGGTCTATTTCTGGGTTATATGATGTTCCTCACTTGTCAGTTTCCTTTTGTCAGTGTCACTTGAGTTTCTAAATGTCTCGAAAACAAATTTCAAATTTACAAAAAACTATGCTGATTGATTTCATGGCAGACCACCCGCAATTGGTGTCCCAAAACCAAACAAACCAATACACATACACCATTGCAGACGCCTGCAAGTTATAGCTGTAGTTGAGCGAAAAGTTAAATGCAATTCCTGAAGCCACCAAGCAATGGACTGGAGACTATGAAACCAGATAGAAAACAGAAGTTAGATATGTAGTACATCATTTAGAATAATATTATACCCCAAACATACAATATAAACTAATTGATTACTTGTCTGTAACCTGTGCCATTTTTTAATTTCCCACTTTTTGATATTGGTTTTAGACTTATTTGTTTATTAGTTTTTTTAGGCAAGGTAGCGCGTATTTTGCAAAGCAATAGAACTAAGTAGGTGAGAGGTAGTAAACCTAAATATCTTAGTAGTTTATGTACTTACTAGCTGAACATTCAGTGAATGGTAATTTTTCCTATTGACGTATACATGTTCAGGGTATAATGGGTCATTATTTCTGGGTGACACAATTGCCTCATGTGTAGTACAGTCTATGATACCCAATATTCCTGCGAAGTTATGAATACTATAAAACCTAAAAATAGGAACTTTAATTTTTGAAAAGGTGTATGTAGGGTATGAAATATAGAGGGAATAGATCCAATAATGAGAAAACAGCAGTTTTCCTTAAATTGCTTGAGGCCACTTTTCCATATTACTAACTATTGGACCAACTTAGAAAAACAATTGGACTTTGTTTCTTGAAAGTTACATCTCTCCAAAAAAAGTCTCTACAAGTTGTTGCATTTTAGAAAAACTAACAAGAATACCTAATATATACACTATGCCGCTAATTAAGAAAACTTACCTTCTACGCAGAACATCTTGTTCCTCTGGATCTCTGAGAAAGCTTACTTTGGTTGCAAGAATTTGTGGTTGATTTAATGCCTCCGTTACCTCCTTTATTGCTCTATTCATCGATGCCTTGCTAATCCCAACAAAATGGTTGGAGCCAGTGATCTTTTGATGGCTGCCACCAGCATAAAATCTTGTTGCCGAAACCTGGAAATTTTCGATTCTTCGTTAAATTATTCTACTCCTTTGCCTCTGTATGGATTCCATCATAGGTCAAAGGATAGGTGCTGTTTCAGAATGACTAAGACTTACTTACATTTGTTGTGATCGAAAGTGCAGAAGCTCGACGGGGTGGTTGTATGAATGGAGTCAATATCTCCAGCAATTCATACACCAAATCTGTGGTCAACCTAAACATGTGTTCGAATTTTCGATCGGAAATTGTGAAAGGGTCTCGGCGCCCAAGAATATCTCTCCCATTCCTTAACTGCCTCCTCTACATCCTCGTTAATAATATCGTTCCAATACATCAATTGATTGAAATTATCCATTTTTTGCAATATGTTTAACGAACGACAATAACAATGCCAAAAACGTAAATTTGTAGGTTATATGGCGCTATTTCCTACTAATTTTTCCATTTTCTCTTGGTCGGTACCAAGAGAAATCGCGAATGCCTAAAGTCAATTCATTTCTATCACTTTTCGGTAGAAATGATTTCAAGAAAACTGCATTTCTTGGCCACGCCCACTTTTTGACACTTTCTCTTACAATTTCTACTCCCTCAAACTCAATAATAGGGACAATGAGGTGTCGTTGGATTCTCTCAGCAGTACGAGTGGCACTGATATTAAAGTTTATGGAAACAAAATGGCGGATTTTATTAAATGAATTCAACCTTGAAATTCGTATTCTACGAAATACAGCTCAAGTGGCTTGATGAGTTTTGACATTTGAGGTGCCCTTAGATTCGTGATAACACTTTCAGTCACTAAGGATGTAGGTGGCCAACTGAGAATACCAGGTACTGTAGCTGGGAACCTATCCATCGTGGAGGCTTAGGGCAAGAACAGTTGTTACTAAAACGGAGGAAAACCGGGAAGATATTTTCAAGTTTCTGAAATGGCCGACAGGGAGCGTAACTATAATGCTGAATCTGAAAAGAGAAGTTTTTTGTGAATTCCACTATATTAACCTAACAAAAAATACCCGATCTTTAAATTCGAGGATAAACTGAACCTTTTTTGTTTGCCAATTTTTTCTGTATCTCTGAAAATAAAGTGGTGGAGCTATTCAAAGGTTTCCGTAAAAAACATCCTGTACCTTCGAAACTGCTGAGCCGATTTTAACAAACTTGGGCTAGTTGAATAGAGATACTGTTGGGCTACAAACGTCGCCGCTAGAGGGCTTTCTGCGACATTCCGACAGAAATGGTCAATTTTATAAAGAAAAAAGAAATGCATTGGTATGAATTTCTTATGAATAAGCAACTAAATTAGTATAAACAAACCTGCGAAAACCGCATCTCGATATCTTGTTTGAATTTTTAATCTTAACACCATCTTTTCAGAAATTTTTTATTCGTCAGAATAAAATCACCATTTTTGAAAATATCATAAAATATCGCTAAAAGGTCAGTAAGTAATGATAACAACAGACAATTAATAGAAGCATGCCATGGAATACAACAAAACAAATACCTAGTCAAAACATAAATAATCCTCAAATTGTCGATAGTTGTTAATAGGTTAATATTTCGAAATTCTCAGGAACATCACTTTTTTAGATTCAAGATTGCAGTTACGTCCTTCACAGCGATTTCAGAAACTTGAAATTATTTTCAAGGTTTTTCTCTAGGCCATTTTAGTCAGGCCTTTTTTTGCCACAAGCCTCCACGATGGATAGGTTCCCAGATACAGCATTCTTAGGGGGCCACCCTGTACATGCTTTTAGTAATAGATCATGCTCATTTACGCTTCGCCTCGACACATCCTGCATCTCTCTCTCTCTTTATCTGGTTCAACTCTGTGTTCAAATAACATCGCATCCATAGATCGTAAAAATGTACTTGTCTGGAATGACCTTGTACATTTTATCCTAGAGGTGCATATAAGTCGACAACTAAAAAGAAAAATAAAAGGGATATCCCTTGAGAGAAGAGCTGTACTATTTCTGTGTATATGTCTATTCCAAAGTGCATCGATAAAAATGCAAAACATAGCTGGATGTTTACGAGGTTATCATAGAAGGTGGAGGGTATGTGCCTAGCGAGTTGGAGGGATATAAAGCGTTAAAAATGTAAGCGTGCGGTCCGAGTTGCAAAGATACTGTTTGCAAATGCTTTTTGGAATATGAGTATATTTCGTCACTTACGAAGTATTCGCTGGGAGTGAAGTGCATAGTGGGGGTAACTGGATCGATCGCCGCGTACCCGTAGACAAAAGAAAAACACCATCGGGCAGATAGTATACATTTGGCTGTCATCACTTGTCGGATCACCAATAATTTAGTGAAATTCCCCTAAACCATCATACCAGTTGAGTTGAACAGAACATATTTAAGTATTATCCTTCTCACCAGGCTCACGTGGAAGCGCCGTATCACAAAAAGAGATGAACTAGACCTCCCCAACAACATATAATTGTTTATATGGAAGATCCTCAAAATAATTACATCGTAACAAAATCATGATTTTTAATCAAATTTTCAAACCAGTCTGGCTCTATGGTTGTCAACTATTAGGCTGTTCCAAAGTCCCTTGGTATGTTCTTAATAAGGACAATCACCGCGATTATCCACGAGGTCAACAAAGTAGCCGCCATACACGAAAAAGGCATCATCACCCAAATGCAGAAGCCGTATGAACTTGTGTAGCGTTTTTCTTAGCTAATGCGCGAGATCCTAATGATAGTATTAATTATACTCGTACGTTAAGATTATCTAGAGGACACCAATGGATTGCGTCTAGTTATTTATCATTTTACTCTAAATCTTCTCAGTTAAATGAAGTGTCAGTTGAAATTAATACTGATCTAATTTATATTACGGATTTCTGCGAAAGGGATCAATCCTGGAAATAGTTCAAGTATGTTTTTTTCTGAGAAACACACATGTATAATAACATAAAGGACCCAATTATGATGATTATAAATAACGCGGGCATCTCCATGGTAGAGCATTCTAAAAACCTGGGTGTTACCTTCGACTCTAACTTGAAGTTTGATAGACACATCGGTTGCCTACCTCTCTCAAAAAACTTATGCCAAATTGAAACTTGTATTATCCAACTTGACCTTTTTAAACTTTAAGACTAGAAACAAACTAGTTGAATGCTTTATCCTGTCATCTTTCCAATATTCCTTGATTTTATTATATTCTTATTTGGATTCAACGTATCGGTATAGGTTACAGAAAATTCAAAACAAATGATGTTGGTGTGTGTTTGGGCTCCGTAAATATAGTCATATCTCATCCAGATCAAAGATGGAATCATAGTTTGTTTATGCTATGAAGGTTTCTGACCCTAAAGTAGTTCGCACAAAAAAGCCACCGTTCAACTGGTACGAAGAGGTAACATTAGTCAGAGAAATATCTCAGACATAACCCAAATTTTTCGATGCCAGTTCACTACTCAGCTCTTTTCCAGAAAAGCTTCACATTTCAAGTCATACAATTCTACCGATAAAATGTATCGCAGTAAAACAATAGTACCTTTCAGAGGACTCGTTAAGAAGCAGCTGATGGATAGTTCGAGTATAGTGTACTCGGATTTGAACTGTTCCAGCTGTGCATTTGTCAAATAGTTTTTTTCTCTTTTCTGCTTCATATTATTCTGGTGTCTCCTGTGTATTGTGAACACGTTGTCAATCCACTTTGTCTACTTATTTTTACTTTTTTTATTGTTATTGTTTGTTTAAGTATCGAGCTTATCTATGTTAGTCTTCCAATACAGTGAGGCTAAGTGTAAGAGTAGCTCGTTGGATAAACTTCGCCTTACTGATTTACATATCTGTATTAATAAAGACATTTATTATTATGATTATTATGATTATTATGATTATTATGATTATTATGATTATTATGATTATGATTATTATGATTATTATGATTATTATGATTATTATGATTATTATGATTATTATGATTATTATGATTATTATGATTATTATGATTATTATGATTATTATGATTATTATGATTATTATGATTATGATTATTATGATTATTATTATTATTATTATTATTATCTGCGCCCACCCAGCAAATACGGAATACTTTGGTAGCGCCACCCAGCAGTCAAGCTATAATCAATTAAAATCGCATTTACCCCCTTCACAACAAAGACGTGCGCACAACAACAAGTCGGCCTCCTGGGAGTCACGGATTTTCTGTATAGACACTGGTCAGCAGTGTGTTGCCAGGTGTACCCCTCCTTTCGGTAGATCTATCAATTTTAGTCATATGAATAATACTATTCAACTGTACAGTTCTGATATAATAATTAAACGAAACACAAGTATAGAGCCACTTGACCTTACCCATCGTTCCCGCTCGTTAATTATGTATTAGTGACATTCGATGCAACCTTTCGCTATAGCGGCATTTAAGCATTTGGGGCTCCCCGTCCCTACCCCGCCCTTCAATTTGTAAAACCAATGGTGGTCGAGCAAGGTACCGTCCTCTTTCAATTTCAACCAAAACAAGTTTTGTTTTTTGGTTTATCGACTTCCGAAAAATTTCACCATTTACCAAAAGATTTGGCACAGATATACCGAAAACAGATCGACTATAACTTTCAGCATTGCCTGGCGAATCAAGAGTAGAATTTGGAACCAGACAACGTTCAAGGCATCGCCGGGATCGCACGAGCATGCGCTTGCTAATCTTGTTCGACGCATAGGAGTATCAGAGAGGTTGCAAAAAGGGATTGTAGATCGTAGCGTCGTCTATGAGACAGTGGCAGAATCTTTGTGTTTTTCTAGTGTTCCATCCCAACTAGCAAATATATTTTATAATTTCCGACTATCCGTGCTATCTTATTTCATAGTTGATTTATTACTGCTGTTAGAATTCAATTTTGTTTTATTATATAATTATCGCTAAGATAATTAAGCTTTTAAGAGGTATTTTGCTTTATAAGGAAGTCGTAAGAATGTTCTTAGAGCAAAAGTACAAAACCGTTTTAGGACACATTTTAATACTGTTTTATTAACGTTTACACAACAATTTTATATAAAATTAAAGCTTACTGAACAAATTGGTTTTACAATAGGTTTATACTGCTATCATATAATACGAGTTTATTCATTTGTCAACATCAATAAAATTGTTTTATCAGAGCTCTGTTGAACCATTATGAAATTAATATTTTCTTTCTGCTCCTGTCGCTCGCTAAAGCATATTGCACTCCTGAGTTCGCAACTAGGAAAGATATTTTATAATTTTCAGCTGTCTGAGGTCGAATACATTGAGGCAAGAATATGAATTTCAATCCTTAACC